AGTCACAAAATAATTCAAAATGAAGCTGTTGGCTCCCCTGAGTGACCAGTGTGGGAGTCACATTGCACTTAAAAAAAATCAAAAAAAGCAAAGAAAAAGCTCATTGAACTGTGTGTTCACATTTTACTGTGAAGTTAGGCTGGATAATTTCAAGTCAGACCTTAGTCAATTTCAATGTCCACATCTCAGACCACAAGGTGTAGGGCCTGAGGGTTGCACATTGGGCATGACAATGTCCTGATCTGAAATCCCTTCTGATTGGTGTGGAGATGCAGCAGCCTCTGAGGTGGGGGCTGTTTATGCAGGGGTTGCTTTCCTTGTGCTGAGATCTGGGGTGGGTGGGAAGGATGTTTACACAGGAGTCCCTCATCCAGTAGTGAGAATGTGGCTGTCTCACTCACTGCTTAAAATCTCCAACAGGAAGCAAAGGATTTCAATGCAAGGAAGAATGTAGGGAATTGTGATTGTTGGTGAAACTCCAGTGGGATATTTATTGATCACTTATGAAGGGGTGATCACCCCATAGCAGCCCCTCCCCACTTCCTTCAGCAAAGCATCCCCTAGCCCTATAATTGAGCATTTGGACCAGTACTGGCTACTGCTGGAGACAGCCTCCTGCTGAGCCCCCAAGTCACCACAGCAACCTCCTAGCCACCCCCTGCTGATTATGAGTTCCATTATGGATGGACAGGGCATGACAGCCTAGGCCTACAGGATCCTAGCTGCATAGTGGTTGTCTCAATATTATAATAGGCCTGGCAGATGCCTGCTTCATGGCCCCTCCCACAGCTGCACAGGCGAGACCATGAGACAATGGAACAAAGAATGGGCTGGCCCCATCTGCTCCTCCCACCCAGTATCTTTTCCTCTCACCCCAGAACAGATCCATGGACCATCCAGCTCAGGATCCCCCCCTCTCCAGGTTAGATCCAGTCTGGCATCCTTGTGGATCTGATGCTTTGACAACCCAACCCCAAATTATCAGACTAGTCTTGCCCAGGATTTTGGAGTTTTTAATCAGAATCTACAGACAAAGAACCGGATCTTTGTCCAGCCGAAGGGGGCTGGCGAAACAGAGTCTCGGAGGAGGGGGAGCATCCTCCTTCCCCTCCACCCCCGGCATGGCTGTGCCAGGTGTAGTCAGCATTCCGGGACCTGGTCACTGCATTGAGGAGGCCTCCACAACTCACTGTGGGGTCAGCTCCTTGAGGCATTTCAAGGACTCAGCACAGGAGCGGATGAGGCTACACAGCTGGAGGCTGAGCTCGATGGAGATGCTGTGCTGGAGCTCCTGGGTGGCCCAGACGAGCTTCCGGAGGATGGCATCCTCCGCTGCAGCCAGGGGGCTGGCAGGCAGGGCAGGCTTTGGGGCAGGCTGGGCCTGTGGTATGGCAGCTGCAGTGGCGGCAGTTCGGAGTCCTGAAGCTGCCCCCTCACAATGTTCTGGTCGTGGCACATGGAGCTGCTGGTGAGTGGCTGGGAGGTACCCAAGGGGCGTGGCCTCCTCTGCAGTGGAGGCCAGCTGGTGCTCACGGACCTGGGATAGTGCAGCCTGGGCATTCAGTGCTGGAAAGAGAGAGGACAGATGAGATCAGGCTGCCTCCAGCGCCAGCAGGATGCAGAATGGGGTGCAGTCACAGTCCACAGCTGAAGTGAGGGAGGGCAGGCAAGCCACAACACCTGGGATCTGTTCCCAGTGCTGCCACTAAACTTGAGCAAGTCCCTTCCCCTCTCAGTGCCTGTTCCTTCTCCATCCTGGATCTGCTCAGTCTATGAGCTTTTCCAGGCAGGGTCTTTCTTTCTATGGCTCTGTGCAGTGCCTGGCTTTACAGAGCCCAGATACCAGGTGGGTTCTATGCAGTGCCCAGAATTAGATAAGAGTGGATGAGAAGGGAATGCCTTATGTCTAAAGCTAAGATTTAGTTATAGGCAGGGCTCGCCGAACTGTGGCGAGCCCCGCTCACCAGCCGCGCTGTCCAGTGATCTGTGTGTGTGCAGATCGTTCTGTGCATGCGCAGATCGCCCAAACCCGGCTCTTACGGGTTACAATCTACTCGCCATAGGCGAGTAGATTGTATAATTTGTCGAGCCCTGGTTATAAGTATTTTTAATAAAAAAACCATGGATATATCATGGGCAATAAACAAAGATTCATGGCCCTGTGACCTGTCCATGACTTATCTTGTATGTTCTGGATGGGAGCTCGAGGTGCCCACTGATGCTAGGATGGCTCAAGGACACCTGCTGGTGCTTGTAGTGGGAGATCTAAAGGTGGCTTCTGGTGCACCCACTGGTGCAGGCAGGGGATGGCCTAGCACTGCCACAGCTACCGGGGGAGGGGGGCCTGGGACTGCTGCTG